TTTTGTATATATCGTAGTCATACTAGTTGCATTTTAATTATGTACGTATTTTTACTCACAAAACCCTCGATATTATTCATCAGGTACATCAGATACCTCCACTTCATCTGTGATACAAGATAGTCTACAAGACAAAGGAATTATTATACTATGTTATCTATAAATGTAGATACTAATTTGTATCTATATTTATAGATAACATAGTTATAAAATATATTATTTAATTCTTTTTGAAGAAACAGTTGAATATATTAAATCTATTAAATGCTCCGCGCAGCTCAATAAGTTCCGCAGAAAACTATGTCTGATGTGATGTTCTCTTTAAAGACTTATTTATTTATTTTTCTACCGATATTTTATAATCTCATTATGTCTCTCTATCATAAGAGGAAGACTTAACCTACTTTGACTAAGCAGGTCAAGCTGTAGGATGAATTTATATACTTTCTTGAAACCTATATATTCGTGCTTTATATCGTTAGTCCTCTTATGACGTCCTGTGGATGAAAGGTGAGGCGATATTGTATTTAAATCCGTAACGGCAAAGAAATTTAAAACGGAATAAATCATAAGAAACCAGTAACGTTTGCTTTTCTATTTCTGATAATAATAGAATAAACCACCTGCTTTAGGATCTATTCAACGATTTAATAACAGAATGGTAGACACTTCGTAACTATATAATATATGCATAATAATAATTAGCAAAAACATCGTAAAACAGAAAAAAAACGTAATAAGCCAAGTGCGGACTCAGAGCGAGCGGATGTCGAGAGTGGCCGGGCAGGTGGAATTACGAGATCGAGTAGTACGCGCCGCGTTAGCTTGGTTTTAAAACCAACGTAATAAAAAAGTCCCACCAAATTAATTACACCCCAGTAAAAACATTAGAGGACACGACATGCAATGTTGTTAAATTATTTCCGTATACTAATATTTTTATCTGTACTCGTATGCATTTTACGTGACTATAATAACATTGTTTATTACTAGAACATATAATAAAAAACATCAACATTGCAACATGACAGTGAAAGTTGTTAAAAAACAAAATGTAAAAAGAGAGAATTTGCCGACAAACACGTATCAGCAAACCTGATCTCTACATTAAAACCCTTCTTATTTATATATCATATCCTTTAAAAGTACTCCCTAAAGATACTGCGTCTGACGTAAAAATACGAGTACGGACTGTTAATGATCAAAATATTTGGTATATACACTACGTAAACTGTATGTCGTATGTATTGAGCGTTGCCTCGCCAACCGCAGACAATGGCACGGCGCATGACGGGCCGTATGTTGTTCGGCACAATGCCAATTCGGTATGAAATTTCTTGGCGGATAGGACAAGGCTAAAAAGTAGGATTTAGGTAATAAGTATCAGTGATATATATTGCGAAATTAAATGCATATTGAATTGTTATTTGTTAAACTTTAAAATTATTGTCGTCTGTGTTCTTAAAATATAGCACGTAATTAATATTGATTAAAAGGAACATGAAAAGTGTGTTATTAAATTATTTTACCATAAACATATATTTCGTTAAATAATAATATTAGGTCTTAATTGCAGCACAGAATTGATTTTCAAAATGATTGTCTTATATTTCTTAAAATACTGTAATCTACATACATAAAATACATTTATTAGTATGTATGTATTATATAAAGAATAAATGTTCGAAAATTGTAATGAAAATTCAACGCAGTTGATATTTGGATTTTTTTTTATTATTTTATAGGGATACAATAAAAGATAACAGTATAAATATTTTTATATTCTTTGCGTAATACACAAATCTTTTTGCCGCTGCCTCAAAAACCGAGATGAAAGTCATTACATTCTATATCAAAAGCTCACTGGGTGCGGGACATAAAATACTGTTTAAAGTAAATATACTTAGCGTCATGCTGTCACCACAACGAATTGAATTAAGTTAGGTTTTATATAAATACCAGTTCCGCGTACACTAACTTACAGCAAGTCAAAGTCAAGAAGAACTTTTAAGAATTTCTAAGTAAGCACTACAAAAAGTATAATCACATTAAGATTCCTTTAATTAATTTGAAAGTATTTTTAGTATAGCTTCAGTTGAAATTTTAATCTTATTCTGGGTTCTTTAATTATTGAAGATAATATGTAAGTATAAAACAAAATATACCGTTGGATCTATCTATATGTTCATGATAAAAACTACTGAATGGATTATCGTATATAAACTTTTCTAAGTTATTTTTTAAAGTTTAAGTGGAAACATTTATTTTTTGTTTAACATTAATATATTGGAAATGTAATACTATATTTCTATCTTTCATTGCTTAATTTATATTAAAGAATGTTAAATAACAGTAATCTTTACAGCTATAATCAGTAGTACAGATATAGCAGACTGAGGTATAAAAAACTGTCAACGTTGTGGTCAACGTTACAGTTACATCAACATTTTGTTGTATAAATATATTTTAAATCCAACGTAGCATAGTTCTATAATATATATTATAATCTGTATCATTGTCTCTCGAACGAAAATATTAATAATATAAAAATAACCCATTCATTATATGAGTTGTAATGAAATGATGTATTCGACTAACAATATATGACGTTCGTACCCTAGTATAAGATAGTTCATGATTGGAGAATTCGTCTTGAATTAACTACATATGTAGATTTCAAATGGAGACTTGACGTATAATAATAAACATAATCTCTGGACAATTCACACAGTACCATCTATAGCCCAAGTTAAGCTAGCTAAAGCTTGTGTTATGGATTAGATAACTGAAACAAATACATAGATATTTTTTCGTAAATACATATAAAATATACATACAAACAACACAGGTCGATAAACAATCATACTGATGAATACAAATGTTTGTACCGTGCGAGGAATCTAACCCGCGACCATCGGACTTAAAATGGTGTGCTAAACCACTAGACCACCGATGTCGTCATAGTTACCTTGGTGTTGACCTAATTCTAACTCTTGCTTTATAGGATCTTATTGTCCGGATGTAGCAGTTAGGTTTGTTTATACTCTTTTTCGAATTGTTATCTGGAAGAGATTTCATTAAGCGATATGGCCGTCGTTTTTGTTTGCTTTTAAATTCAATCGTTTCTTTACTTACATGGTGTTTCATTGCTGGTATTTATTCAGTACTATAAATAAATATTATAAAAATATTATGAAGTAAATAAATATAGTATACTAATCTTTTAGCACTAAGTATACCATGAGAACCGCCTAGTAATCAGCAGTTAATTAAAATCTATTCTTCAGTTAAAGCATATGTATTATCTGTATGTCTTGTCTATTAACTTATGGGTTTGTTGTTTATTATATACTTATATTTACTTGACAGTTTATTTCAGTTAAAGAGATCGGCTTCTACAAAATAAGATCTGGAAAGATCATGCCACAGATGAAAAGATAATTTTTCCATTACTACGATTTTATTAGTAATAAATAAATAAAAATTTTAATTCATTATTTAAGAACTATAAGTATCAATAAAAAGAAATGTGTTAATTTTAATACACGTTGTGTAGAATTTATAATTTCGCTTTAATACTTACATAGTAATTTCCACCATACGTGACATGTGTCGTTTCTCATTCTGAGCCTGATATTATCGTCTGCAATGACTCCTTTTAATTATGCAAACTTAATTATTATACCATAATTATCGACTGAATCCATGCTTAATATATATTTAGATAATGATGAAATGATTTACACTATTATTAAGTATCCTTTATTACTAGCAAAATTATGAAGCCTTTCTGAGCCCTTCTGAGTTCTTCCTATACTTACATTATCTATTGTCTATACTAATATTACAAAGAGGTGAAGATTGTGAGTTGATATCTGGCGTAAATTCCAGTATTACTTATCAAAATTATTTTACTGTTAGATATCCCTATTATTGAAGAAGGCTATACGCTACATAACATCCCAATATGGCCAATAGCAACAGAGATATTGCAAAAAAATTTACGCTGGCATAGTTGCGCGTGTTCACTAGTTTGTATATAAGGAACTTTTATACTTAATTCATGTTTATAAATGCAGGTCTTAAATGGCTTCAATTATTAAACGTATATGTTATGTTTGTTAAGTTTAATTGGTTATTTTAATGTCATTGGTAATAAAAGATATATTAGTTTTAAAATTGGAATACCTACCTACCTAACTATTAACCACTCCAATAGAGTAATTCTTTCTAAATATTTGTATTATATATATAATAAAATGTTTATGAATTTAACAAAAATTCTATTCTGTAACAGAACTTCTATGAAGACTCTGATTCGGATTATTCTTAATAATACATTTCTAAGTGATATAAATATATTAGACGCGACGTACGGCGTGATAAGAAAAATAATTATGTAAAGACGCTTCAATTTTTTATTTCCATAAAGTCTCCGACAATTATTGAGATGTTAACGCTCAAATAGTCTATTAAAATCATTAATGTTAAATAGACCAAATTTTATGAGTGAAATCACACCGGCACAAGATCTAATCCATCAAATTAATAATGCTCGGACGATATGAAAAAGCAAATAGTTTTATGTAACCACTCCGACGTCCACTAAATTATATGAAAGTGTAATAACACGTATGATCCATTAAGGTGGCTATTAACGCGAGCACGAGCGAGAATATAGCCCTAGCACGGAGCGGATGGAACTCGCATAAGACACATCACACAATGCAGCCGGACCGAGCGGGCCGCAGCGCGGATAACGACCGTTTACCTACTAATTGCGCAACACTGCACAGATCCAATATTATTGTTCACAATTCCGATTTTATATCTCAACTAATCATACCGGTCGAGTTTGAGAAAGGAGAGGCGAAAGATTGCCACCGACAGCGCCCTCAGACAACCTTTCACGACTACTTTCGGAAATGATGCAATTACACATTCGGACTACCCGTCCCCCATTAGGTACCACTAAAATAAACGTAAGAGTAAGCGTCACATTTTATTTTTATTATAAAAGTAAAAAAGCTATTATTTATAATACATAACGTAACAGTCACTGTAAATTACCTCCTTTCGTACAACTTTTTAACACTGTGCACTAATAACGAGATGAAGTTGTGATGATGAATTATATTATATCATTGTAGCTCACTGGTAAACACAAGGCAGATGACTATGTACAAGGTGTTCACCGCGGCTATAGATCTTAGATGGCAGGAATCAGAGAAGTCTTTCGTATGTGATGTTTATAGTTAAAAAACAACACGCTATGGAGATTCATCATAGCAGTCCAATAATTCCACGCTCTACCATCTATGCTTAATTATCATTATTTAGTGAAGAGGTCCCGCCACATGTCCGGGGGGTCCATACTGAGTGCTTGTGGCGCCACCGTGACCACCATCAGATCCGCTGTCGTCCCCACCACTGGCACCGAAGTCAGCACCGATGTCATCTCCACCGTGACCGCCAGCACCAATGCCGGATGCTCCACCAAGAGCAATGCCACCAAGGTCACCACCACCGATGGCTCCACCGCCAATAGCACCTCCGCCAATAGCGCCTCCGCCAATAGCTCCACCAGATTCCTTCTGGGTCTGGTATTTGATGAAGTATACTTCTGGTTTAGAAGGCTGTGTGGGAGCTGGTGTGGGGATGATGATATCAGGTTGTTCCTCTGGTTTCTTGACCAATACGTAGACAAGAGTCTTCTCCTCGTTTTGAGGTTGAACAGGAATGATAGGTGCTACTGGAGTAGGTGGAGTTGGGGCCTTGATGAAGATAATTTTGTAGTGCTTCTGAGGAGGAGCTACAGCAGGAATGCGGGGAATTCTCTGTTCAGTAGGTTCTGGTGGGGGAACGTGTACGTAAATGTGTTTTTGAACTAGAGGAGCTCCAGAGTATCCCCCAGCATAACCGCCGCCGAAACCAGAGTCAGCACCTCCGAAGCTCAATCCACCCCCGATGCTTCCACCGCCAATGCTACCACCGTGAGAGAATCCACTGGAAGAGCTCAGAGAAACGGCACCAGAGTGACCTCCGCCGAGAGAAATTCCACTAGAATGTCCACCTCCGAGAGAGATGCCTCCTGAATGTCCACCGAGAGAAATGAGTCTCTGACCACCAGCTGATGGGGCTCCATAACTGCTAGACGGTGCAGAGTATCTGGTACTTGGAGCAGAATAACTGTAGCCAACTGGAGGTTCTGGGCGCCCATAGGCCAATGCCACACAGGCAAGTACCTGTAAAAAATATACGTATATCAAGCCATCTTTTTATATAGAAAAAAAAACCGGATTATTTTATATATAAATATTTGATAAATTTTCTTGGACTACATGGTTATGGATTTTCTTATGAAAACTTGATTCAAAATATCAAAACGCTTAAAAACATTGTAGAAAGAGATCTGAAAAGGGAATTTGTATTGAATACGTATAATCAATAAGCACAGCAGAAATTGTGTGGATAATATAACGCGCAATTGCATCAGTTCGCTGTGCGTAATCAAGTAAGAGCATATTTATTGTCATATCCGTACAATAAATGAAACGAAGATTGAGTCAGTTCAGTAGGGTAAAGAGATCGTGTCTACACAATCGGATGTGACGTAATATATAGCCGGTACGCTGTAGACGTAAACAATTTGAAATAATACGACTTTACGTAATAGACGGGATATTTGGAATTTCGGTCGTTGATAATTTGCACTGTTATATGGAATACAGATGGTATACCTACATATGTTACATCAGAGAATCAACATGTATTTAATCTCTGTTAAACGTACACCACACTCGCTCTGAATAACGATCGAGTGTCTCGATATTTGAACTTAACTTTGAACATATTTGTTTAACTATAGATGAAAATATTATATAATAGACACTTATCAAAATGTATTTGTAAATTACTTTAAATATTGAATATTCTGAGAATATCAATATTCATGTCTCTAGTTACCAATTTTCTAGATAATTAGGCAAGATAAAGTTAGTATTTAATTAGTTTAGTACTGTATAATATTCAAAGATTTGAATTAATTTCTAAGTTATCTTAAGAAAATAATTAACATTTGTCACCAATTATTTCATCCGTAATATTAATATCACTACACTGCATACATATACCATTACTTGGCACGCTACGAACGTCCGGTGCACTATAAAATTTCACTAAACACTTCACTGATTAATGTCACAAAAAAAATCCTGAAAGTAACTCATATTCAAATAGTACTTTAAATATTTTAAAATCGCATGTGCCAAATATTGATATAATATACAAATCTAATTGATTTATGTATCCACGACTGTAACTTACCACGAAAGCGCGCATATTGTGCGTGTATAAAACGGCTCCTTGGCTCGAAACCTAAGTGCTACGAAGTATAATCCAACTAATAAGAACAACCCCGCTTTTTGGAGATGTTCCTACCACTGTGAGCTGGTGTTAACTGATGACATTCGCCATGCCGACCCGCTCTTAAATACCAAGGTGCTCATCTCGTCAGAACACTCCATCCCTACGAGCATTTCACTTGGTAACGTGCAACTATCGTCATTATTTAACAAGTATACAGTCCTTTCTTTTCGACGAGGTTCGCGGGTGGCACGATACGCATTCGACATGTTGCCTTAGCGTTCAACGCTCGCGTTCACATGCAACTTGTTGCCCACGTGTCCATACGGTTTCATGCACTGCCACCGCATGCACTATGCCCACATCACGGTCCAATTCACAATTTTCATTTGTTTTTCATGCCTAATATACTGACAATACGTTGCAATCTGAAGTGCAACATGTGTGACTGAGTATCTATATCAGCTTTTTACGATACATTCGCTAATTATTCTAATTACTATGAATAAATTTTGGATCTTTTGAATAGATTTTTTTATTATTTAATATATCTACATATATATACCCAATAACCTAGCTAGGAGTCATTTATTTTATTAATTCAATATAGTATAATAAAATGTATTGTACTGTATCACTAGATATTACATCTGTTACAAATTTTACTTGACCTACTCAATATATGTTACGTAATGTGAATGTGACATATTAATATCGTTATTTATATGTCTCCCGGTTTTATGGTTGCGCGGAATATCTGTGTTTCCGCTTCATTGTGAGTCTGACAGAGGAAACAAAATTTCTCTCTTTCACCATTCTCAAATAATATAGCCGCGAAAGCTAAGATATTTGTGAAAATTGGTATAATATCGTGTAGTAAAAACTACACAATATTATACTTATGTCGCCTGCACTATGAGTTCAACAAGTTTTCGTTGTTACTCAAGTAGAGCTAGAATACATATGTCGCTATTATTACTTCAAAATTTTGAATATTTTCAATACTTCAGATTACAGGATATAATGACTCTGGAACCAGCAAATTCATTCATAGAAGCGAAGATGTGAACACATGAGTCATGGAGTATTACCATTCTAGAACCAATACCAAACGATGCAAACAATAATCAAAATTATAATTTTTAATTAATTAGACTATAAAAGCATTATAACAATTAATATGATTAGGAATTCCATTAGAACTCCTGGAAACATAACAATAAATATTCCGGCAAGTGAGACGTTGAATGCGGTCGATTTGATTATCTTTGTCTAATCACTAGCCATAGGTAATTAAATTGATCAAATTAATTAAAGTTGGGTGTAAGCAAGTCATCACAAGACGCAGTCTGTGTGGATAGTTATCACTACTAAATGGAATCAATAATAATAGTTCTCTAATAATATAATTATAAAACGATAAATCTGGGATTGCTGGGTAGTTAATCAGAAAACATATTTTCTTTGTTATTCCATTACTAAGATTTATATCCTTACAAACCATATATAAGTTTAGATCTTCCAAGAGTATGCCACACCATGAGAAGCTACACATTCATTAAAATGTCAACTTCAATAACGCTCTTTTAAAAATATCTATAGACGTCATCTAAAATGTTGTTCCAATTATTTCACAAAGCTATGACTGTATATAAATTAATGAACCAATTAAAACAAAGAAAAATATAGAGATATACATGACAGCTACAATCGTATTCTCTACCGACTTAAAAAATGAATGGCTTTTCAAATCGACTGTATTTATTTGTGTACCACAAAACCTTTATCTAAGAAAACGGATTTTAATTATTCTTTGTATTTTGACATCTAGTACTTCACATATGGTTTCAGAAAAAATGGGTCAGAATCTGACTAGTACCTAGTTTGAGTTATCAATAACAATGCCATTGAATTGGCATTGGCGATTATTCGTGGCGTGAACATTAGAAATAAATTAGACTTATAAACTGTCAACTGTGTATATAATACATTTTTGAGAGAAGAATTGAGAGAACAGACTTAACCAATGTGATATTGTATTTAGATTACAATAGTACAATCTATGATTTTTTATATCACATGTTAATTAAAAATATCTACTTCTACCCATTTTAATTTAATGTTGTTCAGTGAACAGTAAAAAGCATTCTCGGCTATTTTGTAGTGTTCTGCAAATCAAATTAAGTCCAGCACGCGACGCGTTACAAGCAGCGTGGGTGGCTACGTTTTGTAGTTTTATAGATGTGTATGGAAAGTGGGTAGAATAATACAATATATGATTGAGTAAATACAATGATTATGATTGAATAAATGCACTTGTAGATTTTAATTTAATTTACTATTATGTAATAAAGTATAACAATCAGCAATATATTTTTCATATGTAAACATCCATAGTGTAACTTGTACATAAATAATAACCTTACTACAGCCCAAATACCAATTTAATTTCTAACTTTAATGTTGCTAAATTTACGATTTCTACTTTACCTATGTACAAATAAGAAGCGAGCGAAATTACCCATAAGGGACTTTCTAAGCTTATTCAGAATAAAAATACATCTAGATTAATATTATTTCTTGAAAATTTATTACTTTACCTTTCATAGGAAAATTAAAGAAGAAGGCTAGTTAGGGAGTGAAAAATAAGAAAGAAAAGCAATCAATGGAAGAGAAAAATTTATTACTCCGTCGCCAAATAAATGGTTATGGAAGAAACAGAAAATGAATATAGAAAAATTGAGCCCAAGTGGTTATTTAGTTAACTGTTAGTCAAGTCAAAGTCGTTATTTTGTAATAATTAAAAAGTCACGAACAATTCTAAATTCGTTCACTGGATATCGTGTCACAACCAACAGCAACTTGTTGAACTTGTACAATTTTCAACTGAGTGTCGTATCGTTCATTGAATAATCAGATTGTAACTGGATTGTCCTTTGCAATTGTTCAAGAAATACATTATAAACAATTTTAGTAATATACTACTAAAATACACCTCGCAATAGTTAAAAAATACATATAATGAAAGTAGATACTGAAATTATAAAAAGAATGATAGGCAAGTTGCTGACAGAGAGATATAGTTATTAAAATTAACGACATCAAATCAGCCCTAAATATTTTAATACCCTCATAATTGCGATGACACAATATAATTATACATATTATAACAGGTTATGTAAACTAACGATATGTTTGCACGTACTTAATTAAAATTATATTATACATAATTTTGTGCATCTCACATAAAATTAATATCAGTCACGGTATAATGTTATTTAGTTCACAAACAAATTTTAGTCTTAATAATGCAAGAATATTAAAATATATTTGTACTAAACAAGCATCTACGCTTAGTATTGAATCATATAATATAAATATAAAAGTAATATATTTGTAAATATAAAATCCTTTGTAGTTGAAATTTGGTATAAATGTTTCCTATAGCGTGTAGAAATCACTAAGAAACCGGTACAGCAATTGGAGAAAATGGGTTTCATAGTAACTGCTATATTGTATTTTATAATCGTATACATATATTATATAAATTTTTATGCATGAGTGTGTGGTAATAGTGGAAGGCGATAGAATAGAGATGAAGTAATATCAGTATGACCATCATGGTTTCCGGATATTTCTGTATGTTGTGTGAATATAGAAATAAAGCACATGACCAGTAATAACGCTACTAGTATACACACATTACACCCGAAGAATTGTGAAACTGAAGAGGCAATAGGCAGGGCATATAACTCGTAGGACAGTAAAGTCCTCAAGTGATGACCGCGGACCATAGACGCAGTGTGAAAACACCTCGGACAAGGTGGACCGATGTCTTATCAAGATCGCTGGAAAGCATTGGTTACGAGCAGTACAGGACTGATCGTCGTGGAGATTTTTGGGAGAGGCCTTTGTCCGGCACTGGATGTCTTCCGGGCTGAAAAGATGATGACGACTGATAAGCACCTGCTGCATGTGTACCTATATAGAAACAACAATAATTAAATAAAATGTTGTCAGTAGATTTTATAGTTTGCAACCAAACATTGAAAACTCTATCATTGAATAACTATTACTCGGCATCTTACTAAACGGGCACCAAATATTATAAAACTATCTGAAGACCATCTGAATGTAAAATGTCGTTTATGGCATGATAATTGTTAAACGAACATATAAAACGTATTTACACTGAGAATGAATTAATAACTAATTACGATATTACGTAATAAGATTACGATGCGCATTGCTTGTAAGAAACGAAGGCACGCCCCTCAAATCGCTTCGCCCAACAAGGTCAAGGGGTCTTCTCTGAACTATAATTTGTTTTTTAACGCATGTACCAATGTAGAAGAACACTCTATTCAATTAGTTATGTATTTAGTGTGATATTGTTTGGTCATGCTGTGTAGTAAATAATATCTCAAATAATGACGTAAAGCTTTTTTTGTCATTGCAGTTGACTGTTACTATTTATTGTATTAATTTTAAATAAGTACATGTATTTTTCTGTTTTCGTTTCATGAATAAATTATGTCAGTTCAAACAATAAGTACTTAGTTCACAACTTATTTACAATTCAGTCACTGCATTCACATTGTAAAGCTTGAAATAGTATTGTGTTTAAAATAAATTTTACCAGTAAATTATTAATAACTTTTATCACGAACGTGCTTTATATTATTTTAGGAAATATATAATAAAATACACATTTCAGAATCGTAAATGCGCTCCAAAACGAACGAAGTATTTAAAACTATTAAGAATCGACTTGACATTTCCAATTCCTTATTCTGGATTCCGCAATTAAACTATTTAACTCCTAGCTATTTGTGTTGTCACTGCAAGCATCTATTCTTGCTTTTCTAACTTCTGATAACTCTAAATAAATCTATGTATTCTATTGATATCGGTAAAAGTATTTTATACATTCAATGTTAATTTTGGAATCTTGTGAATCGTACCAATAAATTACGTAATAGCATTTTTCATTTCTTCAATATGAAATCCCACTTAAGAACAACGTTGATCTAATCCATATTCCCACCAAATGGGCATTATTTTAATAGGTTACTAATGATGAT